CTTCTTTTTGAAGTATTTGACGAAAATCGATTGGTAAGTTATACTGTGCTTGTGTGAAATATGAAGTAAGGGTACGTTTAAGGAGAGCAGCCAAGGGAAGTGAGTAAGCAGTCTGGGATTTGAGAGATGGGTTGGGGGTGGTTATGGAGACTCTGGGCAAAATGGTAAGGGAGATAGGATTTGTTTTTTTCCTCCTGGTGCTACTTGCTACCCTTCTATTCTCCTCCCAAGCACCTCTTCTGATTGTCAACATGCTATAAGATTATTCAAGACCTCTTGTGGCAGGAGAGGACAGAAAGCCGACCCCTTTGTCCTGCCCTTCCTCTCACTCACCCATGACCCCTGGTTCCTGGTGCATGGCTCTGGGAACTTTTGCCCAGATATCCTTCAGTTGCGCCTCCTCACTACAGTGGCCTTTCTTAGGGTTATCTGTCTCTAGTGGACACGCTATCTACTTTCTTATCTCCACTTTTCTACAGAGGAAATCTGTCCTCTTTACACAGATAAGGAATGGGCAGATAAAGTCCTCTCAAGGATGGCCAGCTTTTACAGAGGCAAAAAGCAAACCTAAACCTGATGTTCTTTTTATAAAATGATTGTTCTGATTTCTGAATTCCTAAAGACTATCTTGAAGTCCTAGCCTTTTCCTAATTTTGTCTCTGAGGATCCAATCTCAAACCCTTTTCTTTGCATCTTACATTTTTATTTTAGACCTGTAAGATTTGAACAGGTAAGTATAGAAACAATGTTATGTGTGCAAAGCTTGTCAGTTACAAGCAACAGAAAAATTAAACAGCTTTGTTCATTTTTAGCTAACAAACTTTTCTTAAAAAGCCTGTTTTTATTGTTAAACTACATTCATATTTTTTTGCACTCAAGAAATGATAATTATACTAGTAACTGAAGATATTGCCAATGAAATCCTTAATAAGCATCATAATAAGCAAAAATACATTTTTGCTGCCAAAGGAGACTATCACCGACTAGCAATGCAATTATTAAGGCTAAGTGACAGATGTTTCTGATTTGATTATCAAATATGGTTAGTTACCAAGCTATTTGTTTTCATCTATGTTTTTGCCTTTTTTAAAGAATGAAAAATGTTTTCCATTTTTTTCCCGTCTCTATAGATCTGTTTTTTTTTCTTTCTTTTTTTTTTTTTTTTTGACAGAGTCTCAGTCTGTTGTCCAGGCTGCAGTGCAGTGGCACAATCTTGGCTCACTGCAACCTCTGCCTCCCGGGTTCAAGCGATTCTCCTGCCTCAGCCTTCCGAGTAGCTGGGATTACAGGCACCCGCCACCACACTCAGCTAATTTTTGTGTTTTTAGTAGAGACGGGGTTTCACCATGTAGACTAGACTGGTTCCTTCTGGATGGAAACAAATTACATTTCGTATTGGTGGAGTTTGTGTGTGTGTTTTGTTTTTAAATCATGAAATATACATACAGAGAAGCCCACATGATATAAATTTTTTTTTAATTTTTATTTTTATTTTTATTTTACTTCAGGTGCATACTATATCTGACATTTCTCCCCATGTTATCCCTCCCCACTCCCCTACTGACTTTCTCCTATCCCCCCTCCAACTGCCCCCAGTATGTGATGCTCCTCTCCCTGAGTCCACATGTTCTCATTATTCAACACCCACCTATGAGTGAGAACATGCGGAGTTTGGCTTTCTGTTCTTGTGTCAGTTTGCTGAGATTGATGGTTTACAGATTCATCCAAGTCCCTACAAAGGACACGAACTCATCGTTTTTTATGGCTGCATAGTAGTCCATGGTGTATATGTACCACATTTTCTTTGTCCAGTCTATCATTGATGGGCATTTGGGTTGGTTCCAGGTCTTTGCTATTGTACACAGGACTGCAGTGAACATACGTGTACATGTGTCTTTATAGTAGAACAATTTATAGTTCTTTGGGTATATACCCAGTAATGGGATTGCTGGGTCAAATGGAATTTCTATTTCTAGATCCTTGAGAAATTGCTACACTGTATTTCACAATGGTTGAACTAATTTACACTCCCACCAACAGTGTAAGAGTGTTCCTATTTTTCCACATCCTCTCCAGCATCTGTTGTCTCCAGATTTTTTAATGATCACCATTCTAACTGGTGTGAAATGGTATCTCAATGTGGTTTTGATTTGCATTTCTCTAATGACCAGTGATGATGAGCATTTTTTCATATGTTTGTTGGCGTCATATATATCTTCTTTTGAAAAGTGTCTGTTCATATCCTTTGCCCACTTTTGGATGGGGTTGTATAAATGTTTTAAATAATAAGTCAAATATGTATACACATTCCTCAGCTTAAGAACTGGAGTTTTTGTGTGTGTTTCGTTTTAACATCATGAAAGACCACATAATATAAATATTTTAAATAATAAGACAAATATGTATACACTATACTCAGCTTAAAAACTAGAACATTACCAAAATCTTTGAAACCCTCCCTGAATCCTTCCTTAGTATCATCTTTTCTTCCTCCACAAGTAGTAGCCATTTTCCTCAATTTTGTATTTATCATTCTTTGCTTTTTAAAATACTTTTATCACATATACATATATGCCAAAAAACACATTGTTGTCCAGGTGTGGTGGCTCGTGCCTGTAATCCCAGAACTTTGGGTGGCTGAGGCACATGGATCACCTGAGGTCAGGAGTTCAAGACCAGTCTGGCCAACATGGTGAAATTCCATCTCTACCAAAAATACAAGAATTAGTTGGCTGTGTTGGCAGGTGCCTGTAGTCCCAACTATTTGGGAGGCTGAGGTGGGAGAATTGCTCAAACCCAGGAGGTGGAGGTTGCAGTGAGCCAAGATCATGTGATTGTACTCCAGCCTGGGCAACAAGAGCAAAACTCTTTCTCAAAAAAAAAAAAAAAGAAAGAAAGAAAAAAAATACACTGTTAATTTTGCATATTTTTGAATTTATAAAAATAGCATTTCTCTATAGGAATTCCTCTGATAGGCGTTTTTTCTTTACGTTATATTTGTGAGATCTGTGATGACACATTTCAATGATGCATGGTTTTCTATCCTCTGCAAATGTCATAATGCTATAATTTATGTATTTATCCTCCTTAATAGATATTAGTGTCACTTCCAGTATTTTTCTGTTACCAATTGATAAACATTTTTATGTCTTCTTACATACATGTCTGAGTGTATCTCTCTAAGAGCTGTGTTTTGGAATTGAATTGCTAGATCATGTTATTACTGTTATATTTCTTGTTGCTATTGATACCGATGTGAATTCTGCCTGATGGTATTACTGGTGAACTTTTTTTTTGCATTATTTGCATGTTGTCCACAAGGAGGGTTAGCACACATTTGTGCTTTCCACCATGATTGATTGTCTGGTTCACTTTGCCAGTGACTTTAGTATTGGTGTGACTCTTTCTTAATTGCCAGAAGTGCTGTTTGTCAAACACTGATCAGTGAATTAACATTCCCTGAGCATTTACTGTGTATATAATACTATAAACTGTGTCATGATAGGTTGGAAGAAAAAAGCATTGCCTTTGATATTAAACAGTTGGATATTGATAGATGGGTAACTATGACAAAATTTTTAAAAGTTTTAATTAAAGGAAAAAATAATACATTAATCAAGATATTGTAACGCCTGTAATCTAAGCACTTTGACAGGCTGAGGCAGGTGCATCAGGAGGTATTCCTGAAGTCAAGTGAACTCCTGAGGTCAGGAGTTCGAGACCAGCCTGGCCAACATGGTGAAACCCCATATCTACCAAAAATACAAAAATTACCCATGCATGGTGGCACACACCTGTAGTCCCAGCGACTTTGGAGGCTGAGGCATGAGAATTGGTTGAGCCCAGGAGGTGGAGGTTGCAGTGAGCTGAGATTCCAGCCTGAGCAACAGAGTGAGACTCCATCTCGGGGGAAAAAGAAAGATATTATAAATTCCCACACCAAGGACTCAGAAATTCTATTATAATGCCTCTCATTTGGGGCATTAGTTTGTAACCCTAAACAAATTATTCAATCCTTCTAAAAATACCTTCTCATGTTTATAAAATGAGGGCAACAATGTTTGCCCTTCCTACCTCATAAGCATATTATGAGGATAAAATGAGACAATGACTATGAAAATACTTGGAAAATTCTTTATCATGATACAAATATAAAGTGTTGTTTGACATTCATAGACTTACACATTTTTAGCTCTCTGATATATCTTGTGTTAGCTAAGACGTAACATTTAGTGTATCTACTTTGTTAGATGCTCTTCTGTTCATGGGAAATACTCGGTTTACCAGCAAAACAAAGAGCCGTAGATAATTAGAACAGGGTGGTGTAGACACACCACCATTCTCGTCCTCTGATTTGTTGCTAGTCTTAGCAGGTAACAGAGGTGTAGCTGTGACCTGAGATGTTATAGAAACTTTAGCCATTGGTGGAGAAACAGACCTGATTGTATAGCAACAAGTGATCTGTGTTGTAAATGTCATCCCATCTTTATTCTGCTAAGGCACTCACAACTAAATTTAAAATCTACCATATTCCTAGCAAATTCTCTTTGAAAATGCAGGGTGAAGAACACAAGTAAAATATTAAGCAGGAACAACTTAAGTCATCTGGAAAACGTTTCCAATATAAGTGATATTTGCTTTCAAGAAAGAGTAGGCTTATGTCACTTTCTTTCCAGCCAATTTTAAGACTTGAGGGTTACAAAATGGTCATCTCATTATGGTCATGGTGGTGGTGGTGGTGGCAATAATGACAGAACATTTCAGAATGATGTGCCCTAAAAAATAATTCTACCCACCAATGCAAAAGTTAGCACTGTGTCACCAGTCTAAGACATACTCCTGTACACATTCAGCCACTGGTTTTAGGAGCCACCTATATTCTGGGTGGAGACCCTGTGCTTCTTGCATTTATCAGTTGTATTAGTCAAAGTTCTCCAGAGAAACTGAAACAATAGATTATATAATGTATTTTATGTATTATTTATTTTTCATGTATTTTATATGTGATATTATGTGTAATATATGAATATATATATGTATATATTTCCACACTATGTGTGCATATATATATATAAGACTTAAGTCTGAAATCTGCAGGGCAGATCAGGAAGCTGAGAACTTAGGCAGGGTTTCTACATTGTAGTCTTGAGGCAGAATTGTTTCTTCTTAAAAAACCTGTGTTTCCTCTTAAAGCCTTCAACTGATTGGATGAGATCTACACACATTGTGGAGGGTAGTGTGCTGTACTTAAAATCTACTAATATAAATGCTAATAATGTCTAAATGCCTTCATGGCAATATCTATACTGGCGTTTGACCAAACAACTGGGTACGATAACCTATCAAAGTTGATAAATACAATTAACCTCCACAGCAGCCTTTGACCTTCTAACTTCAGTCAGTGATTAAGGCTACCCAGAGCCTATCTATACCATGTAGATAATCTGTTTATTTTCTGTGGAGATGATCAGTAACCAACAGCTGAGAATGTGGAGTTCTTAGCTTCAATCCTAAGACATTATCTGTTTCATTCCAGAATATGAAATTCTATGCAGGACTTGGATGGATTCTTTCCAGATGAGGGCTGCCATGTCCCTCCAGTTCTTCCACACTTAAGCTTAGGGTTATAATCCTGTTTTGGTATTTGCTGGACTGAGGGGCTGCATTTTATAGCAAGTTCCCTGATATCCCATGCAACAGTAATAGCAGTATGGATCCTATGCAATTTCAGACCTCAGCCAACAATGCAAACTGTTCAGTCTCCCTAGAATTTAAACGGACTAGAGTGCTAGGAAGTGCATGTGATCCTCTTACCGCACTTTTCCTTGGCTGAAACCCTTTCTGTAAATTTTTCACACGTCATTCCTTCTTGTCCACCTGCAGTACTTTTTGATGTTTCTTTAGAAGTGGCAGCTGGATCAACTTCAACAACAACAATAATCCTGAAAGAAAGTATTAGGCATTCAGAGTGACTGTGGTGACACCATCCATCTATCCATCCAGCCTTCTATCGGGTGTCTTTTGGTGCTTACTTTGTGCCCAGGACAAGCTCAGGAGGGTCACAAGAAATGTGTAGTTATGGTCCATGCACTCTGGAAAGGTAAAATCTAGTTAGAGGATGGGGAACTGATGTTTGTAGTGAAGCTTACCAAAGAGAAGACATTTATCTGGCCAAATACTTGGAGTTTATTGTTTTATATGTTAGTAATCAGAGGAGCTTTTCTTATTTCCTGGAAGTTTTAGGCTATAGGCATGAATAATTAGATCTTATTGATTAGCATATTAGAAGATACTCATTCTTTGAGTTATTAGACTCCTCACTTAATCCCAGAAAGAAAGCTGAAGCCATTTGAAGGCAAAGTAAAACAGGACTTCATATTTAAAACAGAAGTTAATGGAATATTGACTGAAGTCTGTAAAATCATAAAGAAGATAAGTTACACAAAACCAAAATAACATAATAATTGAATTACTAATTTCCAACTATTATATACATCCTAAAACACAGTGCTAGTTCATTCTAGTCAAATGTAATTCAATAAATTCAAATTCAAACTATCTTGGGGTAGACATTTTTTTCTAATCTGCATATATTTTTAATAGCATGTTTGCTTAGGATTATTGGCAAAATATTTCTATTTTGTTGTGTCTTAATTGATTAAAAATCTGTTGAGAAAATTCTGATTGAAAACAGATCTCTCTTAAGCAATTTTTTTAACAAAGTATGAGTGTATGTTTTACATATTTGCTTTTACTAAGGAAAACAATCTTACTTAGAAAAATACAAGTTGGGTGTAGTACCATGTGGTATAAACAACTGAACTATTTTACCTTTTACTTTCCTATGAATGAGCCAGTATATATTTATTACTGGAGTTCCAGCTATAAAATTTATGTAAGGGGTTTAAATATACCCTGGAGTATTATTTAAAAATAAATTTATTTCTTTCAAATAGAATACCAACCTTGGTCTATGACATTTGGGAGAGAAATTAAAATATTAAACTTTTATTGCCTAGTAAACTGAAAATAAAGTAAAGGTTAAATAAATACAAAGCAAAAAATATATATATACAAAATCACAACCTCTAAAAGGACAAACAGTCCACTGTTCTCTACTATGGGAGCTTTATCAGCACTGGTAAGTAATTCCACCTCTAGGGCAGGGCAAATTCTCAAAAATGTAAACAAGTATGTACTTTGTTTATATAAAGAAATGTGCAGCATGGTTTGTATTTCTTTGTAGATATCAAACAGCTAAATGGATTGTTTGAGAGCACCAGCAGGGGCCAGCAAAGAGCTCTTAGAGTTTTTCAGAACAGAATTGGCATTGAGATATGTTTATTTGATATGTTAAATCCTTTTTTGACTTCTTTACTTAACTCCACACTCTCTTAAGTGAATGAATTGCAGAGACAGTGGAATAAAATATACTGTGTGTTCAAACTATCTTGGGGTATAGTTTTTTTGTTTTTGTTTTTTTTTCTAATCTGCATATATTTTTAATGAAGTGTTTGCTTAGGCTATTTCTTGGCAGAGTTTTAATAGTCAAAATATAAATGGCATCATTTAAAGACTGTTCTACTTGGCTGGAAAAGGCCTTAAAATTACAGAAGAAAATGCATAGTGACAGCTTCTCTTAACTTTTTTTTTCTTGAACCGATGCTTCATTTTTGCAATAGTATTACTAGGCTAATTTTATAGTTCTGTCCTTAAGCTTTCACATTTTATATAACTAACACTTTGGAAGCTAAAATGTCTATCTGTTTCATGTAGTACTAAAGTTTTAATTCATCCCAAAGTTTTAGTATTTCCAAATTTACACAACTGTTTGAATTCACTCATTAAAAAAAAGGAAAAATTAACAGTCCCTATAACTTGACTAGAATCTTAGTATGGTTACTATTTGGAAATTCAATCTTTGATTTGATGCTTAATTACATGGGGTTCCGTTCCTACCAACTTCCTGTAATTCTATACCTATGGGTAAAAATATTAGTGGTCAAAGTCGGCTGGAGAAAGTATAGGCACTGCGATTCACATAGTTAAATGTTCATTTAGTAGAGCTAGGGTGAACAAATACTGCTTCAACTTGAAATTTTAGAAGATTGTTGTTCTTGTGTTACTCATTCATGCAAATTGGAGAAGGTATAATTGAAACAAGGTTGGCTGTGTTTGAGTCAGTGTGCTGCAGCTGAGCTCAGCTTAAAGGTCGCTGGAAATCAAGTGCTTTGTAAGTGAAGGCATTTTGACTACAAGCAATTCAAGACATTTTGGAAACGTCAGTCTCAGGAATGGGCCGTCTTTTTCTTTCTATGATATCTGGTATCTAATGTTTTACTTAGGATAAAGACTACTACTTAATAGCTCTTTTAGGCACCACAAATGATTTTTTTCTTTTGATGCAGAGCAGCTGCTTCTAGCCTGTCTACAGACAGAGATATTTGTTATGACTTTCAGCCTTTAACATGTTTGGAAATGAGAACAAATGGCACAGAGCTTACGATTGCACTTTGCAGCCAGAAGAAGCAATACTTACCCTTTGTCAGAAACCTCCGGAGATGACTTGGATAGCCATGTTCACATGTGCTTCAAAAGACCAACACGGATTTCAGCGTCTAACATTGTTCAAATGAAGCTGACTCCTAGACAGACTGCACTAGCTCCGTTAATAAAGGGAAACGTTCAGTCTCAAGAAAGATCATCTGTTCCCTCATCTGAAAATGTTAATAAAAAGAGCAGCTGTCTGCAGATTTCACTACAGCCCACAAGGTACAGTGGATGTCTTCAGTCTAGCAATGTCTTAGCTGATAGTGATGATGCTTCATTTACTTGTATCTTGAAGGATGGTGTTTACAGCAGTGTTGTGGCTGATAATGAATTGAATGCTGTGAATGATAGTAACCTTTTAAGCAGTCCTGCCATTTGTAGTGGTAGCCTTAGTAACTTTTCAGCCAGTGATAATGGGTCTTACAGCAGCAATGGTAGTGATTTTGGGTCATGTACAAGTATCACAAGTGGAGGTTCATACACGAACAGTGTCATCAGTGACAGTAGTAGTTATACTTTTCCACCAAGTGATGATACATTTTTGGGTGGAAATTTATCTTCTGACAGTACCTCCAATAGAAGTGTGCCAAACAGGAATACTACTCCATGTGAAATTTTTTCAAGAAGTACAAGTACAGATCCTTTTGTCCAGGATGACTTGGAACACGGATTAGAGATTATGAAATTGCCAGTGAGCAGGAATACAAAAATTCCTCTAAAACGTTGCTCCTCCTTAGTCATTTTTCCTAGGAGTCCTTCAAATACCCCACCAACTTCTCCAACAAGTCCATGTACTCTTCTGAGCAAAGGATCCTATCAAACTTCACACCAGTTTATTATTTCTCCTAATGAAATTGCACATAATGAGGATGGCACTGGTGCTAAAGGATTTCTTTCAACAGCTGTCAATGGACTTCGGTTATCTAAAACAGTTTATACCCCCGGAGAAGTAAGAGACATACGGCCGCTTCACAGGAAGGGCTTATTACAAAAGAAAATTGTTATTTCGAATAATACTTCCAAACAGACTGCCTGTGAAAAGTCATCTGAAGGATATTCTTGTGTTTCAGTGCATTTCACCCAACAAAAAGCAACTACATTAGACTGTGGAACAACAAATGGCGATTGTAAACCAGAAATGTCAGAAATTAAGCTGAATTCTGATTCCGAGTATATTAAGCTCATGCATAAGACATCTGCATGTTTGCCATCCTCCCAAAACATTGATTATCAAATAAATATTAATGGAGAATTGGAAAGACCAGATTCACAGATGAACAAAAATCATGGTATTTTACAAAGAAGTATTTCATTGGGAGGAGCTTATCCAAATATTTCCTGTCTATCCAGCCTTAAGCACAATTGTTCTAAAGGGGGACCATCTCAGTTACTCATCAAGTTTGCATCTGGAAATGAAGGTAAAGTTGATATTTTATCAAGAGACAGCAACAGAGATTGCACAAATGAACTGTCTAATTCTTGTAAGGTAAGTTTCCTTTGGTCTTGGTAAATGTTAATTTCTATGAGAATAACTTAATAAAATATTTGGATAAAATTTATTACAACTAAGCAATTTTATATATTTCCCCAGTCCTTAGCTAGCATATACTTTGTAGTCATGAATTTTATATTTGTAAATCTGAAGAACCCTATGTGTAGTTTTTTACTCTGTTTGTTATTTTACCAATGTACAAAACGTGTATTTTTTAAAATCTTCCTAAGTGATTTAAGCTGTAAAACTTTTCTGTAACATAAAAACAAACTCTGAATAACAATCTATTTTACAACATTTTATCTTGGCATATTTTTTCTTTAAATAGTGTAGTATTCTATTATGTAGCTCAGTATTTTATTCCTATTTTCAAAATGATCATTTTGTTTTCTCGCCTTCTTAATCATTATGAAATAGAGTAAAATTTAGAATGCTTATTTAAAATATTAAACAAAAACCCATATCAAAGTGTGAAGATCTTGTTTTAAATGGTCATAGAGGAACTATGTCTCTAAAATACATGTATTTCTAAGATCATTCATAAAACTATTATGCTGCATGTTTAAAGCAGAGGAAAAATAAATGGCATTTGCGTTTGTATATACCCTTAACCACAGGAATTTTGTTTCCACCCTATTTTTTCTTTAGCCACGAGTTAATACTGCCTTCTAAAATGTAACTCACTCTTTCAACAATATTGAATTCTAAGTTTTAATCTTTTTGAGTTTTGTTTAAATTGCCAGGCATTTCCCATAATTTTCTCTTTACCTTTTTATTTGTTTTTTTGACAATTCAGCTTTATTTTATTAATAATTTAACTTGTGAATCTTTGCCAAGAGTTCTTTATGTAATTTGGCCTTTCCAAAGTATTTAAAATGGTTTGAACTAAAATAGATTTTTTAAATGTCTGTATTTGGAATGTTTTACCAGATTCCAGGAAATTAAAAAAATTTTCTAACTAAAGTGATTCTGCATGATAGTACATAATAGTTTGGGGGGGAACCATATCTGTTTATCTGTGTTTTTGTAACAATATGTATATTAAACATTTTTTTTTTAAAACTTTTGAATAAATAGATTTAGGTGAATAAGATAGTAACTGCTAGTTTATTTTCTCTGTTCTGAAATCTGGTAAATACAATAATTGTTACCAATGCCCAGATGTTAATGTAAGCCACTGCTTTACTGAGGATAAAAAAATATCAGATTTCAAATTCTGATCTACATTTTAGAATTTTAAATTCCATTTAGGACACTTTCCTAAAACCAGCTTTTAGAAGATTATAATCCATTCACTGCTTTCCCTCCTAAAAGAAAAAAGAAGTGGCACTGAGAAGAAACATATTAATAGTTTGCTAATCGAATTAATGCTACTTATAAATTTATTTTACACTTAATGAAATAACCTGAAAGGAATAATTCATGTCAAAATATTTACAGAAATATCTTGAAATAGTTTATTTTGTAGTAATAATTATAGTTTGTTGTGGATGCTTTTGAAAAGAGTATTTTAAATGTGTTTTTTAATGAAATGTGGATCAAATGCCTTTTGCATTGTTAAAAACATACATTTTATTGGTTTTAGTTATATTTAGGTAAGCTAACTTAAATATTTTTTGTGACAATAAAATGTATAACTTTGTGCAGATTCTATCTTTTGGTAGATTATTGGATTATAAAATAGTTCAGAAGTGTGCAGTTTGCTGAAGCTTTAAATTGTCCCCTCTTTTAATATTTATTATATTTCTCTTTATAAAAGCATTATAAACAATATAGTGACAGTTAAATTTATTTTTTACTAGATCTAAATAGATCTAATTGATAAATCAAGGGCTTATTTTATGAAGAAGATTCTAGTGTTGCTTTTTCTAAATATAGCAGTGGCAACAATAATGGGTTTTAGAAATAATCCTGTGTTTATCAATAATTATATATTAATCTAATTATAGTGGTATATTGTAACTCATTTATAAATAAACAACTCCCAAAATATTTCCCATGACTCCAGTTAGTCTGGGTTAGTATTCTGATATGCTGAGTCTGGATTCACATTTAACAAGTTGATATTAGAGTAGCATTTAGTAATGTCAGCTATCTGTACTGAGCAGCCATGAAATTAAATCACCGCTTTGGTCAGAGACCCTGGTTTCAAAATCACGGAGAGTCTACAAATTCTTTTCTTAAATGTTTAGCTCCCAGTCTCTAGCAGTATAAAATTGAGTTTCTAGCTTTCTATAATCAACAGCTCATTAATGACTAATGTTTTAAATCTAGTGAGAACTTTACCTGTATCTTAGACACTGGCTGCGTTCTGTGTTTACAACTTAGAGTGAAGATGAGACTTTGTGGTCTGTCTGCATACTAATGTTTATTTCAGGCATAGCAAACAAGGTAACAGTAACTGGCATATGTTTATTATATATGCTTTTTGAAATACAGTATCACTTTTGTAAAGGCTATATAATGACTTTTGATCTGAAAATAAATATTTGATATTTTAACAGTATGTGTAATAGTTTGTCAGTTCAATCAAGAAGCAGGTTAAGGAGCTAAGGTACTTCGTACACAGTTATAAAAATTATTGTTCTTCAGATTTCTAAATCTGTAGTTGGTTTTCTCTACTGTTATTTTATTTTTCCCCCATCTGTTGGGTTCTGAATCTCCTGTGTTATCTTGTCAGGATACTCAGAGATTTCAGTACCTTCTTTTTAATGTGCATTAGCATTTTGCCCAAGTTTAAATGTCTTCCATTCTTTGCTTATATGTGTATTTTTATGAGAAATATTTTTACGTTTTTTCTTTTTGTTTTAAAAGTTTTTATTACCTGCAACTTAATTCTAAATAGGTAAATTGCTTACACCTAGTATAGTAGAACCATAATAAGCTTACGTCTCAATTATTTCAAAGCCTTTAACATTAATCTCAAGATTATACATTTCAATATTTTCTTATTTAATTGTTCTTCCTAAAATAGGTGTTTTAAATGTATGCTTATTTTAATGCTTCATTATTTTCCAATCCCCATTTTACTAAGTTTAGCAAAATATTTAGAGAGATTTTGTTAAATTTATTTTGAGCAGCACTTACAAAAACCAGCATAATTTATAAATATTCTAAAATGTGATGGAACAATGTTAATGACAGTTTTAGAAAGTTGGTGAAAATGTATATTTGTATATGTATGTTTCTTAGAATGGAGGAATTGTTCATTTCAGAGAGGTTCAGAATGCTGAATTGTTTGCCTGAAAATATTTTGTATTCTCTGTAGATGTGTCTTGTTTAATTAATTCATCCAGTACACATTTGAGTGCCAGGCACTGTCCTAAGTACTGAGAATAAAAGATGAGTAAAATACAGTCTCTATTTAGGGGAACTCCCATTCTAGTAATAGGGACATGCTGGAACATAAAAATTTTCAGTCTAATATGTGATGTACTAAATAGAGTTGTGTTTGAGAAAGTAGAAAGATGTGACATTGTTTTCTGGAGAGAGGACCTGGTTGGCAGAGGAAGGTTTCCTAGAGGAGGTGACTTTTGAACTGAGTCTTGATAGGTGAACTGGAGTTCATCAGGCAGAGAAATCAAAGAGATTCTAGGGCAGGGATTCTCCATCTCAGCATTAGTATATTGGGCTGGACACTTTTGTAGTGGGGGCTATCCTGTGCACTGTAAGATATTTGACAGCATCCTGGCCTCCATCCACTAAATGCTGGTAACACTCCTTTCTCCCAGTGTGACAGTCAAAAAGTGTCTCCAGACATTGCCACATGTCCTCTAGGGGCAAAATTGTCCCCTGTTGAGAATCACTGCTGTAGGCAGCAGCAGCAGCAGCATGTGCTAGGCTAGAGATGTGAAAGATTCTGACACTATAAATAGTCCAGTGGGGCTCAAGCATAGGGTGACCTGGGGATGCCAGAGGAGGTGATCTGCCAGAAGTGGGCTGGAGTCCCATTAGGCCTGGCGCTTCATGCTGAAGACAAAGAAGCTGGTCTTCTGCTGATAGTCAGTAGTGGGGCAAGGGAAGTCTTCGTTTGAGAGTATGAAGTGCTCTCTTTCAGGATTTTAGAAGATAATTTTTCATGGTGTCATGGATTATAAATGAATTAAAGTTTTCCTAAGTTGGATGACTAGATTAACAGTGATGTCATGAACTAAGATGGAGAATTCAAGAGACGGGCCAGATTGGGAGGGTGAAGAAGAAATTACATAATAAGTTTATGTGCCTCAGAGGCTGCCCTGATAGTGCTGCTTTCAAGTAGGGCAGCTGGAGATACAGGACCAAGGCTCAGGAGAGAAGTGAGAGTTGGAAATGTTGATTGTGAGTTAGGAGTATGGTCAAAGCCTCAGATAAGAATGAACACATACAGGTCAAAGCCTCAGATAAGGAAAACATACAGTGAGATGGGAAGGGAGGATAAATTATAATTCTGGGGCCAACCAACTTTGGTGAGGTGGAAGAAGAGGGGCTAAAGAGGAGACTAAGGAGTAGCCACTACAGAGGCCAAGAGAGCATGGAGGCATGGAGACATGGAGGCATGGGCGAAGGGCAAGGAAAGGAGGACAGCGTACATACGTATCCACTGGATGTGACAGATAGGAGGTCCGTTAGCAAGAGTAGGCTCAGGAGAGTGCAGGGTTAAAAGCTAGGTTGAAGAAAGAATGAAACAGGTAAGGAAGCAGAAACAGCCAGCCTAGGTTGCTTGCCCGGTATTATAAAATAAGCATGAGATAGCATAGGCAAGGAATATTTAGTGATTGTTATGCAGAAGGCACATGTGAACTGGATATGAGATGTATAAGACAAACTCCCTCTCTACAGGGAGAGTACAGTCTCTTTTTCCTGGAGAAAAAAAAAAGGTTATAGCCTTCTGTTCTTTCACCTTGGAACTATAGAATAAGTGAGTATTGTCAGTAAAAACGGAAATGGAGATCCAGCAAAATCAAATGAAGGAAACAGAAAATTACAAGTGAAAACCTGAAATCACTTATGAGTAT